CCCCCTCCCTCGGTGTTCCCCTCGCTTCGCTTCTTCAACACCACACCACCGCCACCACACACACCAACCAGACCATACCAACGGGCGGCCACTTCTTAAGTTTGCTTGTTCACATTAATTTTACCGTTTGTAGCCGCCGGCCCAGGTACCGCAGTTAACCGAGGCGACGAAGGGACACGCTGTCGTATGCTATAACCATCTCTTCTTTGCTCTGCCGCTGTGCTGTGTCTCTTTGGCCTTGCTTGACTTGGGATAGTTTTTTCTAAGGATTTCCAAGGATTGTTACACAGCGTTTGAGGAATTTCGGCCACCCTATTTGACATAGAGTGGTCTCTTATGGATTACCAAGAGTGCTTTGGTGTTGTAGTAACAACGATTTGAGTAGGGGAAAGAGTTCTTTTCTTCAGGTTCAATCAGTGCGGAGTTATCGCTTGGAGTATTCTACTACGCAGATTTTGTTTCTCCTGTCGAGGTATTATGTTCCGAATGTGTGTGTGTGTGTGTGTGTGTGTGTGTGTGTGTTGCAAAATGGAGACTATAAGCACTAACATGCTAATATTATGTTGTTGTTCTTCAATTCGTAGACACTGGACTTTCGCACGTTCAGTCCTTTCAGGAATCTTGATCTTCGGCGGGTGGCTGGGTAGCACCACTGGTAGATCGAGACCCTACTTCTTTTCTTTACCTCTGTTTATCTGTCTGTTTATCTTGTCCGTTCCTTTCGCCAAATAGATATAGATCTAGATCTAGATCTAGATCTAGATATAGCCAGTAATTATTGTTACTTACTGACAAAAAATTCTGAAAGATCTTGACTTGATCTTACTTTCGTCCAGAGGAAATGAAGTCGGTTTTTCCATTTTAATGACTTTCATTCCTAGATCTAGATCCTAGACTAGATCTAGATCTAGATCTAGATTCTAGATCTAGTTAGAAAGGTAAATTTCCCTTACTTAGATTACTTTCGGTTTCTCTTTGCGCAATCGTACTTTCTGCTTCTGGGATAGGCCAACACATAATTTCATGAATCTCTTTATTGTTGTTCTTCCGAAGGTCTTATTTAAAATATAGAAATCTAGCTCTATTCCCATGTCGCCTTTTCATGTTATTGTTATGAATTCGAATTTGATTTATTGATAGAGTGCGTTATGTTCCAGGTGTGCACGTTCTCTCTTCTTCTCGTGTTCCGCCACCTTTTGATCTGTATGTTTATCTTTACAAAGATATGAGGGAAGGGTAAGCCAGGTGTTTTTAAGGTCACGAATTGCATGTGGTGGACGATGGCATTTGGAAAGTGTGCGTAGGCCTAACATTCTTATATTTTGCGTCCTTCCCCCATCACCGACCCTCGTCTTTTCATTAAGACTAGGCGGTAGGCATCTTTGTTCATTTTTCTCGCTCTCCCGATTCCAAAGAAAAGAAAGATCGTATTCCTATTCGTTCGTTCGTTCGTTCGTTCGTTCGTTCATTCGTTCAGTCCTTCATTTCGTTGTTCCTTTGGATCATTTGTGCTTGCGTGGGTTCATGCATTCTTTCTTTTATTTATTTCAAACAGATGGTGATTTTTAAAGTATTCATTCATTCATTCATTCATTCATTCATTCATTCATTCATTCATTCATTCATTCATTCATTCATTCATTCATTCATTCATTCATTCATTC